CCCGGAAAATAATGATTTTTCAATATTTAACTGTAAATTTGGACAAAAAATTAATCACATAAATAAAAGTTCTAATTTTCCTTTGGGATTTGTAATTTCTCATTCTTATCAGATCTTCCTTTTTTGACAATCTGGTATCAGATTCGTAATCAGCGACTTCAAAAATGTGCTGGTACCAAGTTTCACAAATTTTAAATGCTTTTAAAATCTTGATCGCCGGATCCAATAGCCTTTTTGAATTTTGACATCATATTCATAGTGAACTACCCTAAAACCAAACCCCTGAATACCAATTTCCATAAATCATTAATAGTTCTTAAAAGAGATCTTGATCTAGCAAATCGATCGAACACGGGTATTTTTTTTTTGTCCCAGTTTCCGAAAATGAATGATTTTTTCGTGGCTCAAAAATTAAAGTTGATTTTTGTGGATTCACTTCTACGCCTTTGCTGTTCGAAAAGGATCATAAAAATCTGCAAAACTCTTTAAACGAAAACACCCAGTATCAACACATTCAATGTGGTCCACGTTGTACTATAGAGGCTTGTGCAGTTTGGCCTTAGTTCGTCCAAAGTGACACCTGTTGTTGGCAAGAGTGATTCTATGCTGAATTTATCCACTGACATTGTTATTGGTGCAGCTACTACATCCTAGATAGGCATTGTTGTCCAACTTAAAATTTATGTATTTATTTCAACAGTGTCGTTGGAGCTTAGACGCTTTTATTTGCCGACTCTGGATATTTCGTTTCGTTCTGTTTTACTCCCAAACCTCTTTTATTCGCTCCTTTTTCCAGCATAACAATATCTTCGGCATATGCCCGTAACTGTTCAGTAACAGTAAAAGAGTGTTGCAGCTCGGAGAGATCTCTCCCAATTCTAATAAAGTTATTTCAAATTCAGACAAAGTGGCCTAACGATATCAACGTGCTATCGAAGAACGCTTTAAAATAGATGAAAAGCTTTGTCTCGTTTCTTTTTTCACGGATCTCTTTCGAGATTTAGCACATGTTAGATAGACCAGTTCTAAACCCACCTACAAAAGACCAAAATCCTAAAGTTCCCACGACAATCAGGTCGACCGGATTTTTATCCGGCCAAGTACTGTCACTCGCGCAACATTCCCCGCAATACTTTTACGGCTACAACAACAACAACAAATATTAAAGGTCACTTACATACATATACAACAATTGGTCTATTACGCCCTCTGATCTTACCACATCAAATCGTTTGGACGATGTTCATTTAGGTTATATTTGTGTTAGTCACTTGGTAAGTACGCCTCGAAACTGATCTAAAAACTCGGCAATTTCTGCGTCGAAATTTCACATTAGTTGATCGGCGGCCGCGGTAGCCGAGTGATTAGCATTGCGTACTGCCATTCTGAAGGCTGAAATTTTCTAATTGGGATCGCCCCTCGGTTCGTTGGAAAAACATCAATACGCAAAACCACAAACAAACAACCGGGAAATTTGAGTGCTGGAGGTGACAAATAAGGTGAGAGGCTCCTTCGGGGCGTTTCCTTAATGGAATGTGTTATCGAGGCAAATCAAGACTAGGAATGCCTGCGGGTTATTGTTGGGGACTTAGAAGAAATTTTTGTATTTTTTCTTAAAATAGATGTTTTGATGAGCTAAATTTTTAATACGCAAGTCTCGCTTAAGTCCCAAACAGAGAAAACTCCTTGTGCTCAGTTTTGACTTAAACTAAACGGTAAGCTTCTTGAATACTGCTACCCCAATTGCCAAGGCCCATTGGCCTCGATTTATGACTGAGACTTTTGGTTTCTCTTTATAAAAGAAACTTTAAAAACTGATATTAACACCTTAACTTCCAGGAAGTTTTGTGTTTTCGGATTTTTATATCTGCCAACTTTTTACATATGTACGAGGCGATTAACCAAAGCTCGATAAGGTGACCAGATAAAAAAAGAAAAAAATCTTTTTGTATTTATTCCTAATCTTTGTCCTTTTTTATGTTCTCGAGAATAAGATGCTGGTCGTATTTCTTCCATTCCAAATATCGCAGTAAAAATACTTGTGATTTCAGCAGTGTGGGTTGGCGCGTTGTCATGATGCAAAAAGCAGCGCCGCCAATTCGCTTTCTTGCTGTTTTTCAACAAATTTTTTAAAACTTTTGGTAAGCACCCCTCGGTCCACTATTTTGCGGTTACCGTCTGACCCTTTTTCAATGGAAAAGCAGCTACGATTTTAGATCGGACGAAGAAACTTGGCATCATTACTTTTGCTGCTGATTTTTGTTGCTTAGATTTTACGGGTGGGTTTGCTCCTGTTGGGCGCCATACCAAGGACCAATCATTTCATGTGTCAGTCGTGGGTCTTCGTAAATTTCGGACCTCACCAGAGCTACAGTGACGTCTTCAGTGGAATATTTTGGTAGACCTTCTCAAAGTTCGTCCTCTACGGAAAAGTAGTCGGTCTGGAATCTTCGGAACCACTTAGAAATAGTCTTTAAAGGCGGTGCAATCGTTCCAAATGACATTTGACATTAACTGAGTTTTTGAATCGGCTGTAAATTACGCCGAAAACCTTTCTGTTTGCGTTGATGGTGGATTTTCGCCCTGACCTATCCTCAGCTATCTTGCGCCTTCTCGTCTCCACTTTAGCCGATCGTTCTGAAATTAGAAAAGAAGTCTAATAAAGTCATTGCCAAGAATTTGGTATTTTGAGATTATCAAAAGCAAATTGAATTTTTTTATGAGGGGATGAGTATACAAAAATAGTCATATTTTCGCAAAAAGTATTTTTTTTGTACAATTTTCTTATTGAAACGCAATATTTACATGCATATTTACATACATAAGCAGTTTTTTGAGTTACAAAGGTCATTTCTTTGTCTTCAGTTGGTACAACTAGCCATCCAATATTAATAAAGACATACATACAAACATATATTAACACGTTATCATTTCGGTTTTTACAAGAAACTCACGTTTATTAATAAATCTACAAAGCGTTATTGCGTTATTATTAATATTGATTTGCGTAATTGTCATTTTATTTGTTTATGCTGACAGCACCAACGCGACAGTGGCAGCGTCGGCGACAATGACGATGACGACGAATTACAGAGCGCGAATAAATACACATACAAGTGCTGAGCAGACAACAAAGGTCAGGACAGGTCACAATGAAAGGGCGTCGTCCTTGTTGTGGTGCAAATAGTGAACGGTTACAATGAGTAACCGTTTGAGTAACAGTTTGACTACGAATTGGGATAACACATAATTACACCTACAAATAGTTAAAGAAAAATCAAATATAAGTACTGTTTGTTCAACGTCTGATTTACATATAAATACTTTTCAATTAAATTCTGATTTAGTTCACAGCAAGCGAGCCTACCATGCTTCTACTAATTAGATCTCAGTACAAACTAAACTTTTGTATACACAAATGCAAAACAAAAAAAATGGAAAAATATGGGTACTAAGCAAAAGCTCCTTAGGAAAGCTTAATTAGCCTTAATTAGCTTTTTATAAAAGTCCTTGTGGTGCGCGAACGGCCGATGGATTTTCACATTTACTGCTCAAGAGCGATGATCGCTAATTACGGATGCTGGGGTCTAGATATGATTATAAAATCATTTTCCATGGAGTAGGGGGCATTCCTTACAACTAATCACTTGAAGCATACTTATGGGCGCTGGGTATGATATCATACATTATTATCAGTATTCCGATACCCACTCGCATTTGGCGAGTATTCGGTTCATATTTTAGCTGCGCTCTAACACTTTTGACTACGCCTGAAAACAGATCGATAAAGTCGTCTCGTCATTTCCCCATGCTTATGCCACATTTGTACGTGTGCAAGTGTTCTTCTATATATACGTATGTTTTCGTAAATGTAGACTTTTTTGTTTGTGCTGAAAAGAAAAATCAAAGCAGCCTTCGGTTTCGTTGCCTTACGTCTACTCGCACTCGCCGCACTCGCCGCACTCGGGGTGTTTCAAGCCGGTGTGCTGCAGCGGTCGTTTGGGGTATGTGGGCGAATGTTAGTCTGCTTCTGTCGACTGCTAAATTCAGGACAGGGTGTGGCAGAGCAGCATAAGCGCAGCTGCAGAGTAGCGCAGAGGCAATGCTGCAGTAGACACGGCTTTTGCGTTGTGCGGCGTTGCAACGCACGAAAAGTATTCAACCCCGTCGTCGTCGAGTTTGTTGAGTTTGTCGAGTTTGTCGAGTTTGCACGAGACTGCCACAGTAAGTTTGCTGTTAAGGTGAGTTGGGGTTTCGGAGAACTTCAGACGCCAACAGCCAAAAGCATAAATTTGCTACAACGTAAACTCGACTCCCTCACAGACACACATACATACCTACATGCATACGGGCAGACACTACGCTTGCAATTGTATTTTGCTGACAATGTATTATAACTCTGCTTACTTATGTATGTACATATGTATGTGTGTCAGAATGTGCGTTGTTTGTATATATGTGTATATGCGGTGCGTGGGTTGAATGGACGCTTGTCGGCGTTGACTGTAAAGCTTTTTGCAAAACTTGAATGACGGAATAGAATTGAACTGTTCCTGCAAACTCTTTGTCCGTTCATCCAGGGTTTTGCCCGTTAAAGCGTCGTAGTATACGTGTATATGTAAATACAAGTATTTATGATGCACATACGCACGCACACCAATCGACATTTAATGCACTCATCCTCAAGTTTTGGTCTGTCTAGACGCATGTAGATGGCGTTTTATTATGGGGAAGTGACAAAGTTGGTCATATGCGTCGGCAGGGTTGATGAGGATTTCCACAGACAGTCAGGCAAAAAGCGTTTCATTCATTGGGTTTGAGGGTAGACACGTGATGCCAAAGAACTTGAAGGCGTTCACACGATGACCCTGCACTCTCACTATTTATGTTATATACAATACAAATCAAAAGAGATATATGTATTTACTTGCTTGCTTACTATAAGTTTACACAATTATAGTTTATTTCTTATATTTTTTTCACAATTTTTATACGTTCAGGTTACCTTTTGACTCGCGTTGAGGGCAAGATTGGTTCGCCGGAAAAACCCTTGTCGGACTTGGGCTTGATATCATATCGATCGTATTGGAAAGATGTGCTCTTGGACTACCTCTGCAATCGAACCGGAAGTACGCTGAGCATCAAGGATGTGTCGCAGGTAGAGTACATACACTGTATATAGCATTGACGCTTTATAACCCCTGTTGTGATTTTCGGCGATCTTTCCCTTTTCATAACCTATTTCATTAAACATCAATCTTTTACAGGAAACCGCTATATATTCATACGATATTGTGAGCACTTTGCAAGCTTTGGGCATGATGAAGTATTGGAAAGGCAAACATATTGTACTTAAGAAACAAGTAAGTATAATTTTAGTTAAAGAAAACCAATTTGTGGTTTGTGTCTTAATATTTTTCAAACAAATGGAGAGATCTACAGTGTATTCAAAGCCGCCTCCGAACGGATACTAGAGTTGAGATCGCTATTAAAAAAATTTACTTAATTTTCTGCAATTTCGGATGTTTCTTTAGCCTGGGCGCGAACCCATGCCCTTCCACATGATCGTCTACATAGCTAATCGTTCGGCTTTTGTCGCCGCCACTGGGAGGAATCAATCTTCCTAAAATGAGGTTTATTTCTAGGCTTTAATTAATGACGGATATTTTCTCAAGATTCAAGGTTTTCAAGAAGAAATACAACACATATAATTTAATGTTATGGGCAAGTATTTAGCTTTTTTATAGAGATAAGAGCTTGCTGTCATATCAGGCAAGTGTCTACCGCAACGTGCCCGCACTTTTTTCAGAAGCTGAAGCCGTAAAACAGTGCCAAATATTCTCTTCCGCGGCATCAATCGTCTTGGGCTTATCGTTTAGGCAAGCAACATCAGTTAACATCAACAAAAATAGTCCAACGGTGTTAACTCTCACGATCATGGAGGTCACTACGCGAGATAATGCGCAGTCTGGTTGAAACCAAAGGTCCTCCACAACAATATCCTCCCTTTCAGATATGAAAACAATTCCCTCTGCCCATAGAGCACACCGAACAGTGACTTTTTGAGATTGTAACGGTGTCTCAACAAACGTGAGTTTCATCGCTGAACATAATTCTCTTGTGAAAATCTGGATCAGTAGCCAGTTTGGCATCGATTCATACACGACTTGCATTTTTTAATCCCGCAAAAACACAGCCTCCCGCAAAATCGTCCATAAAATGGAAAAACAAATTCGTTTCGCGTTATCGATTCATTCAGGTATTCTTCGACACTATGCACCACAACAATGTAATCCTCCATGTGCACGCTTCGGAATCTCTGAAGATGTGATTTAACTTCGAAAAAAGTATTGCCTTGTTCAAAATCACGTGTCTAAAAGAAGCCCTGAAAATAGCAGCTAAGTCCAGCCAATGTTTATGTATAAATCGGTTTTTATGGAATTTAGTCTTTCGTTCTACGGAAACTGTTTAATATTACAAATTCTCGCGTTCTCGTTAATTATTTTCAATTCATCTTTTAGTTCAGCTAACATATTTACACATTACAAACTACAACAAATACTTGCCAAATTTTAAAAACTAATTATTCCCAATTATGCACCTACATTTTCTTTTCAGGACGTGCTCGATGAATACGAAAAGCGTGTTAAACAAAGGGGCAATTTTCCAAAAATCGATGATAGCTGCTTGCGCTGGAGTCCGTTTGTGCCAACACAAACAAACAACTCCCCATAATAGTAGGTTTTAAGTTCACGTGCGGAGACGATCGTTATCATCTACGTGCACTGATGCTGAATCATACAAATCGCATATAGTCTAACTAAGATTAAATATAGTTGGAGACAGTGTACATAGTTCAATAGTGTGCTTATGGGACAGCAGCGCCGTGGATGATCAATATTTCTCGAACTTAAAAAAAAAAAAAAATTGATTTTATTTTTCATAAGCTGTGCGATAAAAGTTGAATATGCAATACATGGATTTCATGCAGTCTAAGCTGTGTATGTAAGCGTGTCCTCATGAAGAACTTTTTATGAAAGCACATGAAATCGTATGTTTCTTGTTCTTGTTATTTCTTGTCATTTCACAATATAATTGTGCACCTTTTAGCTCTTGACAAACAATTTGAACACTTATTTTATTATTTTTTTTTTTAGTAAATTGTTAACATTAATCAAATTTTAATATTGCAAATTTTCTAAAAAAAAAAAACACAAAATAAATAAAATTTTGTAAATAATATAAAAGAATTAAAAAAAAATTGTAATTTGTTTGTAAAAAACGTATGTGTGTATGTAAAAACTACGGTAAAAAATATAATATAATAAATTTTTAAATATGTATGTACGTAGTTATAAGAGGAAATTTTAATTGAAATATAAAGCTTATCTTTTTATAGAACTTGTTTGAAATGAATTTTGATTTAAAAAATATCTTAAGCCAAAATAAGGTTTACATTACAAAAAAAAAAAGAGAAAACCCCATTCTTAACCAGAGATTTTAAGAATTAAAAATAAATAGATTTGCATGACGTTAAAGACCTGAGCAGGCCATAAGATGACTGCAGCCATTGCACTGGTTACATCTAACCGAATTGGAGGAATGATGGAGTCGTTTTTGGAATGATGGAGATATTTTTTCTAGCCAATGAAGACTCTGGTTTGTTCTAAGGCGCTTCCTAACGTCTGCAGAATTTTTATGACACTAAAAAGGGTTAAAATTCCCTATCGAACGACGATCACAATTAAAAAAATTTACTTAATTTTCTACAATTTTGCAATTCGTTCGGCCAGGGCGCGACCCCGTGACCATCCACAGGGTTGTCCATACAGCAAATCACTCAGATATTGCGGTCGCCATTGGAAGAAATTAATATTCCTAAAATAAAGTATATTTCTAGGCTTTGATTAGGGAAGGGTGTGCTTTTTTGAGTTTTAAGAGGAAATAAAACTCATAATTTCAGTTTATTGCCAAGAATTTAAACTCATAATAATTAATTAAAAATGATTTTTATGAAGTGATCGCTTGCCTCAACGGCTATAAATTGAATGTTAACTTCACAAAAAATAGTCCAGCGGTGTTCAATCGGGAAATCTAGTATGACACGCCAGATGTTCACGACACGACAGAGAATGCGCTCGCCAAAAGTTTTCTTCAATAAATTGCTTTTTCATTGACAGTCTTGTTAGAAACAAATGCCATCCATATCAATATCCTCCGATTGCCACCAACGAGGCACGTAGAAGTCATTAGTACTGGCTCTAAAGCGTCCTTATTGACTGTGTTTTTTTTTTTTTTTTTGACGAAATGTGGACCAATGATTCCCCTACGAAACAGCTGTCAAATCACCGAGTCCGTCCCTTTGTAATCGCTGAAGCGATTTTTGGCCGAGATCTTCCTCCAATTTGTGATTTTGCGTCTTGATGCTTTTCCAACATGGGGGGACCTACGGTCTATTATAAGCCACCTCCGATCGGCTAATGGTTTTTTATAAGAAGCTTTATGCCATGTCAGACGGGTTGAAACTCTCTGCCGAGGGGCGACCGTAATTTGCAAATTTAGCTTAATTTTTTATTGAAATTATCTCTCTATAACCTTTTAGATTTATGGCGCCAGGATTTGAGTCCGAGCCTTTCGTATGCCCATACGCAAAGCTAACCACTATTGTTGTTGATTTTTTAGCGGATACCGCGGTGTCGAAAACACGTCGAAAAAAACACTCTTTATTTGAAGATCCGGCTAATCATATACGCAAACTAAGCAAGCTGTTCAAGGGTGCCTGCTGTGCCCTCTGCCCTTATAAAATTTTTCCATCTAGAATCAATGATTTTAGGAATTACGGGAGACATAAATGGTTAGGCAGTGTAGGATTTCTTTGGCTGTATCGCTCTCAGATATTTCCGTCAATTCTTGCACCTTTGGTTTCTGGTTCGATATTTATATAACGGTTCATATTATATATTAGCGTACTTTGTTACTGATGTATTTGTTGGGCGGTTCTGTTTAGAACTGGCGCCTGAAAGGGAGATTTTTTGAAAAGGAAGCAGAGTCGTTTTGGCTGAGGTCATGCGCGAGCAATGTATTTTTGACGTTTAGTATTATGATGATGTGCATATACTGACGAACACCGATGGTTCGGTAAATAACGGTGGCAGCATGATCTCAAGTGTCTTTGCTATTCGCAGGAAGAGATATATCGGTCTGGTTTAAATAGTGGTAGCACTCTACCTGTATTCACATATCGAGTATTGTTTGAGAATTCAAACATAGGCCGGATACGGTAGCATCGGAGGCTTTTGATGAAATCCAGCGTCCTGCTATTGCTTAGCAGTTTGTGCAGTAGGAGAGTCAATTCTCGTTTGGTTCTAACCATTTTATTGTTGTTGCTGTTGTTATAGAGTTTCACTAGCCACGCTTAGGGACGGGCTTAAGTAATCTAAGTCGCCGAGGCTACCTAAAGTGAGGTCCAGGAAACGTACGGTTTCGGCAGAATTGGATCGGCGATTTGGTTGTAACCTTGGAAGGGCGTTTGTTATCGATTAATATCCAGCTTACAAAAATATCAATTTGTACCGCTAGATGAATTATTTTAAGCTGTTACGCACACCGTTAAGGTAACAAACCCGATACACTGTACACCTGTTCGGTACAGAGAAGCGCAAAAAGTCTTCAAATATAACAAACTCTCAGACTGTGCTTAGTAACAGCATTACTCATATTTACAACTCTATGCACAACTTCACATTGCAACCTTGTTAATGACAATGATAGTGGTGACAAGAACAACTCGAAATGTGGCAGGGCGGAATTTGATTGGGGCGACAACTACAACCAAGTGATTGCATGTTGCGGTAACCCTTTGGCTCATTTGCTGATGCCCGTGGAAAAAATAAATGAACAAAGGCTATCAGGCAATTATTGTCTGTGTGGTCATTTGCAATTGTGTGGAATGAAAAAAATCATGACCAGCAGTGTGAGGCTTTAGCACATGCAATACTTACAGCCATAAATACTGTTCAAAACACTTTCAGGCTCAAGTTTTCCACTGGCGGCTCTCTATCAGACACTTATCTAAGGAGAGTCTACTCGAGCAGTACACTCAGTCTGTCTGGAAATAATTTTTTCTCCAAACATTAAAAACGGACAAAGGAATGAATCATTTCTCACGAATAAATTCAAGAATGGGGTTTGATGAAGTTTCGCGATTATGTTTAGCAATCTTTTTGAGGGAACTTCTAACATTGATTTTTATAGAAACCTTATCCGTTGGTGGTGGCTGCAATAGCCGAGTGATTAACATTGCTTACCATTGTGAAGGCTAGAGTTTGAGTCCTGGTTCGACCATCATCCAAAATAATAGCTAATTAATTTTTCTAAACGCGGCCCTCCCTCGGCAGAGAAGTTTTTCTGACATGAAATAAAGAGCTCCTCATAAAAATCCATTGGCCGTTCGGAGGAGACTTAGAATAAACTATAGGTCACATCGGAGAAGTAGCTCGGCCAAAAGTCGCTTCAGCGGTTACAAAGCGCCAATTATATGTCATACGGAAAGGTATGCATATAAAGCAGCTGACTTTATTATTTCAAAAGCCTCGAGATGGATGCTTATAGGCTACCCAGAAGATATTTGATCTAATATGCGATGTCGTGAGTCAACTATATGGAAAAGAATCGGTTCAATAGCAGTCACCAGCATTATCCATTTCGGGAATTTTCACACGCACACATAATTCGATTATTATGGTGTAAGCCGTGCCAACGCCAATGAGGAAGAAGAAGCGAAACACGCTAACCAAAGCGAAACTCTATGGCTCCCCACAAAGTGTGCATTCTAGACACAAATATAATACATACATATGTACATAGTTGCATATATGCAACTGCATGTAAACATTCGTGTATAATCAGTTTTTCGGCGCTTGCTCACTGCCATATCAAACAAAGCAGCAGCGAAAACAACAACAACGGTAAAAGAATCAAAAAGAGTAAACTTAAACGCCCCAAGAATACGGCCACAACATCAGTCGTGATGGTTATGGTTATGGTGACGATGACTGAGTGGCTGGTGAATGGTTGAGACGGAGTCGATGTTGGAGTCATAGACGGTAACAGCGGCGTCGACAGTGGCAGTGGCAATGCCGATGGCATTTGTTGTCGTCCAACAAGGAGTTGGAAATGCCAGACAGGAGACGTGCGACGGGTCGTTGCCATCATCAACGTCGTCAATGGTCGTAGTCGTAACGTAGAGGAGAACAACAAGCTCAAAAAATATACTGCATAGGTAAATAAATTCATGTATATATGTATGTCAGTAAAAAATACACTACACGATTACCGGCATTGGCAAAAACGACGGTGGGAGAAACACTCGCTCGGTCGCCGGCACTCTGACACTGACAATATCTACACACTTGAATTAGCACTGGGTAGAAGCTCTCTGGATGGAAACACAGTCACAGAAAGTACGAACACTCTGTGCATATATACATATATACATATATACAGAAAGACTGTCAATGCGTACATATGTATGTATGTATATATGAACAAAGAGTTTGCAAGTGGAGACACCACGAAGCTTACTTTGTATAAGCGAACCGAAAGAAATTTTATGGCAAATAGCTGGCGCTGGTCGCTTTTGATTGAACAACGACACCGAGCAGCACTCATTTGATCAGGCACAGCCGGTCTGAACGGTTCGTCTTAAAAATAATCGCTCTATGTCGATTAGCACTTGGTGGTATCCACATACACTGAGAGATTGGTTTCCTGAAGCAGTACAAAAGTGAAACACAAAATCGCACAACAATGCAAAGAGATTGCAAACAGACACAAGTCAGACGGTTAGCTTATCGGACGGCTGGTCAGCTGGGCATGGCATTAGTTCTTCGCCGACTACAAGGCGTAGATGGTGGACAGCTGATATACAAATTTCGTGGATATATTCAGTGTTGCTTCAGCTAAACAACTAAAAACTACATAAGAAGCAAGAAATCAAAAGAAACCTCATGGCTACTTGGACTTTGACAGTCTCATGGGCGTTGTTGCAAGTGTCGACAATTAGTATACTCGTATGTACAATGTACATATGTAGAAACGTACACGCTTATCGGATAATTTTCGGCATTATTTAAATATTGAAAAATATTCTATTGTTGCCGTGTGTACTTGTTTGCTTTGTTATTATCGTCATCGCCATCGTCATATGACGGGCGGCATTGCGGCAAACGACAAACAGCCATTGTGCACTACGGTTCAGTGTTTGTGCACATGTATTACATACATATATACGCGTATGAACAATTGTGTATATACACGTACATATAAGCGGCGACATCGGTCTGAATGTGCCCGTGTTCCCGTGTGCAATTCTGTGTGTGACTGTGAGAAACTGCTCCTACAAATCGCAACCGCAATCGCAATGGCAAAATACTCGGACGCACACTAGTGTAGGTGCGCGCATACGTGAGCAAATGAAGAAAAGGCTAAGAAGATAGAAAAATTAAAGAAAGACAATTCAATCGGAAGTGCACTTCGACCGGAAAAAGCCATGGAATTGTGAAATTCAGCGATGGCGATGGTCTCCAGCTTCGGAAACGATGCAGTGTTGGTAAAGGAAGTAGTGAGCAATGCACATTACATTATAGTGAGACTAACGCAACCGACAACATTGGCGGTATCAAATTTGCACTTTGTTGGTTGTTTAGTGTAGATAGAAATTTCTCGATCGGTAGTAACCGGTAGTAGCAACGGTATAGCTTGCTCGAACATTCGATTATCTATTTGTGGGAATCAAGAACTTCCTGTGTGGATGGATGGATTATTTTTAGCTGATTTAAAACAGACTGTGTATGAATGACTACGGCATTGGCCACAGTGGTGACTAAATTATTTGGTGACGCAAGTGTGCACAGAAAATTATACATATACGCCTGCTTGTTAAGCTGGTACGAGAAATGCTAGTGAAAACCTAGAAACTAGTGCCACCACGTCAAAGCGCCAGAGCATCGGCATATTCAAGAGTAAAATGGCAAAATTTCGATGTGATAAATACGCATTCGGAGCAGCAGCTAAAGAGTGAGGATAAATAAGCAAGTAAGAAATAACAAAGTTCGACTGGGGCCGAAAATTAGATACTTGACGAGGGTAATTGTGAACCTATGTATGCCTGCCCGTTTTTTTTAATTTTTTTTTATTTTTTGGGAAAGTACAACATTAAAAAATCAGGAAAATATTTGTTAACTGAAGAATTCAGAGTGAAAATTCTATTTGCTTGAGCTATTGGATTGAACTTTGTCCGCTGACGAAAATAGATGTACTACAATCGGAGATTGGGCACGCCCATTTAAGTAAGGAAGCTAAGTGATAAAATTTGTCGCATTGTGTGGCCAAGGTTCGAGGGTACTTTTGTTGTGGGCCTTGTTACGAGAGGTGACATGACTTATTTTCAGTTTTCAAAAGCCTCTCATTATTAGTAACTAGAATGCTGGGAGACACGGACGGGTAAACAGGCAGACACGGCTGAATGGAATGTGTGTACACATTGGTATATACATATAAACAGTTTGATTTATGCTGTAAAGTAAAACTTCGTAGATAAACAAACCTAATATACTTCCGTAGACGAGTACCTGGGTATACTTAATAAATAGATTTATATGCTGCGTGCAATAAATCATTTCAGTATGTACATATGTACGTGTGTACGTGCGTGAAGATATGCATAGGAATGTAGAACATATGTGCAGTAGCAGACAATATTACTCTTCATATTTTTGAATTTTATCCGAAGAATGCCACCGCAGAGGGATGTGTAGTATGCCGGCTAAGCGATAGCACCAGTATTACGTACATACATACATATATACATATTTGTATATACATATGTATGCAGAAAATGGCCAGAAGGAGGAGGACAGCAGTGAAACCCACATGTCTGAACGACATGTATCTGAAAAATTAATTTTAGATTGTAATTTGCCAACTACATACAGAGACGGCAAAAAGTCAGAAAATGAAAAAGACGTGAGCACATCGTGATTTCATACGAAAAGTGGTGGTATATGAGCAATTGGAATGCGGTCGGTTGAGGAAAAAACAGCAAAACAGTAGAATAGCAGAGAAAGAACCAAGAAACATCAGCAGAAATCGAACTATATAGAATGGCGTAAATGACAAAAATATAAGACATAAAATTCTTGAGTAATGGAGCATGTGAATATCTGTATGCGAGTGAGTTAAATGGGGGAAGAGTGGCAAATTTTCGTTTTTAAAATAAGCGGAGTTATTTGCATATGTGTATTGGGGGAGTGGATACAAGATAAGCTAAATTTAATTCTTTTGCAAATGAGACAAAATTTATTGCCTTAAAAAATACATTGTTTTTTTATAAAAAATTAAAGGGAATACTAGTTCAGGAACCGATTATAATTTGCAATTGACTTTAAAAGATGTAGAGTAATGAATCTATTGAGTTGGCTAAGCAATACACAGCAAGTCACAGACATTATTATGGCTGCGTAGAATTATAGATGACGTTAGAAGGCTCTACTCTTTTGTTCTTTTACTACTTTATACTTCTTCCAGCAATGACTTCTCACCACCCGGCGTAAAGTTTTGCTCATACTGGCATATAATTTTATATATATATATATCTACATACATACATAAGCGAGCACAAGAGACCGAAGCCAGATGGAAGACAATGGAGGCAGACAGACAGAAGCAGCAGCAGCAGCAGCAGCAGCAGCAGCACAACGGCACAGTGACCGGTCTAAAAATTGTGGACTAAGTTGAGAGCAAACAGCTGTAGCTGTGCCAAAGTGTACGAGTGCATGGCGCATACATGCGAGTATACAACTACCAAGGTACAATCTACATACATATGTATATTGTATCTGCGACTCTGTGTATATGTATATACGCCTTCTTATCCGCATATTCGTGGCATTCGCGGCTGATTCGTACATTTGCCGGTAAGTCCAGTCAATATGATTTATATGTATGTAATTTTTTTTGTTTGCATTGGCTCCATTCATTTATTGTAAATATTTTTATACGTACAAGTATAAATTTCAAACACGCATACTTATAAAGAAATATTGCACACTCTCAGACGTACATATATATATATATATATATATATATATATATATCTACAATATATGTATGGATTCAACAGCGGAAACGGCAGGAATCAGCGGGTGTTGAATAAAAGCTTAAGGGAGAGATAAAGAGTGGTTTATTAAGAGAGTAAGCAAATGAGCGAAAGGAGTCACTAGAGAAAGAGACAATGAGAGCACGAAAGAGACTGTATGTTGGTGTGCAAAAAAGCTTATGGTGGGGGTAAGTGCAAGCAGACCATGCGCATCCCGATGCATCATTGACTGCAGCAACAACACCAACATCCGCATCATCATTATTACTATCAACGATTTGGTTATCGTCTCCGGTATGCAATAACTGCTTTACAATTGTATACATACATATAAGTATGTATTTTATATACCCAGAAAAGCCGACATGTACGACATATGTACATACATATACATGAACATTGCTACGCCCTGCCGATAATGGCACAAACTCCAAGTCAAAAAGATTGTTGCCCGTGTGCCCCACCCAAGTAAATGAAATATATTTACCATCTGTATTGTGTATGCAGATATTTATATATTATATATACACACAAATGTACATATTTATGACATATCTACATATGTATATATGATAATATGGATGCACACTTATATATGCAGGCTTGAAATTAATACATTTATATATATATATATATATATGTGGACATACATACACACTACCAATTGTCGTCATACATATTTATAATACAATATATGTACTCAAAAAAGCATGCACATTAGGGTCGTACAAGAATTTTCATTTTACAAGAACGGGCAAATTTTGAAGAATTCATACCTCTTAATTTAAATTCTGAAAATACACATGCACTTAATTTGAATTCCTAAAACTTTTCGAAAATATAAATCTTGTTGTATTCGCCCATTCTAAAGTTAATGTTTAATAGAAACCAACTGTTTTGGACTACCCTAATGTAGATGCATCCGAATGTATGTTTGAGCAAACTTAAGTACCAGACATTTTTCCTTTGTCTGCCATTCTGCTTTCAAACATTTTGCCAATGTACCAATCGACTGTAGTCAAACCAACGAGGCATTGAAGTCACCAGTCTCCAATACGTTAACAATTTTGAACTTTCTTATGTATGTGCATAGGTACACTTACACATACATATGTGCATGCTGGTTTGGTGGTTATTTGTGGTACATATGATTATTATGAGCCCCACACACATCCATCCATACTCTCACATAAATTTCCGCGACATTCAAAATATTGCCAATTACTCATTATAGCACTCAGCGCAATCGTGAATCGTCGTCACTCCATTCCATTCCATTCCGTCCATACCTCCATCGTCTATACGAGCGATTTCGCTTAGGTCCCGACTGCAGTCAAATGAATTTACATACATATGGATACATTTAACTAATAAGTACAACAATAAGTACACTAGCAAATCTTTCAATACTTCACTCGTACCAATTGTACCGAGACAACCTGAAAAATGATTTCAGGAAAATTCCAAGTATTATTATAAAGTTTGTTGAATACCTACATACATACATTTACTTCCCTTAATTTCTTTACACAACCTAGTGTTAAACCAAAAAATGCTTACGTATTCATTACTTGCTTGCGTACAAATGTATTGACCCACCTTCCTCACCTTCTCCACCTCCCCCATCGGCAACATTGCCGACCAGCACAACTTTACAGTGTCATTGAAATAGTCGTACGACTCGCCAAGAATTTGCCGAAATTCAAGGCTTAAACAGTTTGGTTTTGGTCTCTTACTTATTTATTCGTCTTCATGTCTCTAAATTTCTTGGTGTTCACTTGCCGGTCGGCGCTCACACCGCTCCATATTTCTATATACAACCATAGTATTGGCCAAGATGGCCAAGAGGTATGGACGTGCGACGGACGAGGCTTCGAGTTTTGTGGTTCGACTTTCAACAGCAGTGGAACAGTGGCGCGGCGAGTTGAGGCTGATCGGTTGGCAGCGTGTACCTAACCAACAGCTGTCGCCGACTTGCCGAACGCGTTCAAGCGTAAAACAAAATTTTGGCAAAATGAAAAATGCGAATTATATACATATGTATATAAATACATGCATACGAACAGCACAAGCATGTGAAGTGGACTGAGAACGAGAGAGGGCGGTAGCAATAAGAAAAATTCGCAATTCCAAATTCGCAAAACTCGCGGATCATAGAGAGTACACATTTCGCGAAGCGTGATCTGAAACTTTGCAAGCAAATTTCGGTAAAAGTACTATGGCAGCCATTAAAGTCGGCACAGTGCGAAAATGTCTGTCAGCGGTTGATGAGGTGTGTATTGTCTTCATAGCTACCGATACAGCTGGACTTTAGAGAACTACCGAAGGAAGATTAAGCCCGATATGAATCAAAGTATTTGCAGAAAAGGCCAGCTAAGCTACCGTTGGGATACAGAGCTGTAATCGAAACATAAACTTTGCTACTGATATAGGAACCTTGACAATTACCTATCTACAAAAGTATCATGGCCAAACTTGCCTACATACGTATGTACATATGTACTGATATTGTGCACATATGAAATCCGAAGGTGCGCATGTAGTGGGGCACGTGTCGTTCGTAAATACTCATTAAATTTGGTTTTATATTCCTGCTTTTTTCTGCACTCTGGAGAGCGCTCACGACCCTTTGCACACATATGTATGTATGTATATACAAATGTGTGTTTGTACATGTACATCTATAAACGTGTGATTGCACCTCACCACCATATGTTTGAAATCATAAAGCCATCGGACAAGGCGACCGTAGTAGTGGCAGCAGAGCTCGGCAACCCACGACGGTGTGGACCGCGATCGCTACATACAGAGGTGAAGCACATATATCGTGTGAGTATAATTTAACGTTGTACTTATTTTCTTCTTTTTCAGCTTAATATTTATGTTGTTTTTTTTTTTTTGCAACTCACACCGATTCGCAGCGACAATGTGCGAATTTATATGCGAGCATGACCAAAGCGATCATTTGGTTAGTAACAGCTTAGAGCCCGGGCGGCAACACCACAAGTGATCTTCGACGCTGTGCATGTTGCCTTCGCTTGCTCGGACGGCACAAAAGTACTTGCCTACGTGTGTGTGTGTGTATATGTGTGAAAGAGTGTGTGTGTGTGTATATGTGTGAAAGAGTGTGTGTGTGTGTATATGTGTGTGTATGAGTGTGTGTATATGTATGGCTGGGAGGAAGGCGACCAAAAGCGAAATCGATCTACAACATCAACGACAAGATGAGAGCAATTCAAATTTAGAATATCAGGGGTCGCTACATCTTTAAGTGGTGCAAATGTATTGAAATGGAGACAAGTAGAAAAAACACGAAGCAAGATTAAGTTTATTCCAACTAAAGCAACTCCGATGGAGGATGGAGTTCGTTTCCTTAATTAGCGGAAGTAAATTCATTACGGGCAAACAAGTGAGTAGCAAGGCATTCACGGAAATGCCAGTTAGATGATGTCATAAAGCAAAATTTGTGCGAATATATTATCACCGTGTTGGTATGCCGATATATACATATGTATGAAAAACGTGCGTGCGAGTGTGGGTCGCAGATACCAGTCCGCCAGTAATTCATTGTGCCACTGAGACAAGTACGACCATTTGCATAAATTCATGCTCGAATCCAGAAGAATTGTGGGCAGTAAAGAGGTATAGCAAAGTACATATGAACATGTATGTATTGTATATTTACTAAATAGTCAGGTGTTCAGATAATATAATATACATATATGTATGTAAGAACATGGGTACGTGCTTGAATATGTTTCGGTGAATATACAAAAAGTAATTTGTGAAGAGAGGGCCGCAGTAAAATATACACAACAGCTGCTGGAGAGCTGATAATGTACATACAAACGTCCATATATTTGTTGGTACTCATACATAGGTGAAAAGAATGGCATGACTAATTAAAAATTCCAGTCGAACTTCGCAAAATCCACACCAAAATCTTTTTTGTTTGGCTTTTTTTTCTTTTTTTTATTTTCAATCCACCGATCAGTTTCGACACGAAGCCACACGAAACTGCTTGGCAATTTATTGTATTGCGATACATATCATGGTTTGAGGGTTTAAGCACTGCTGCAGCCACAAAAAATGAGCGAATAGGAAACTCTTTGCTAAACTCTTGAACAATACAAAAATTGAGGATGGAAGTCAAGTGTTTCGATGTTTTGGTGTTTTGGTGTTTTGGTGTTTGTGCGCAAATACACTCTTTCTCAGGGTACGTATGAGTTTTGTTGTTGGTGTGAAGAGAACATATTCGGGGAAGAAATAACTAAAGAGAGTTCATCATCAACAGCAGTTAGTCAGCCAGCCAGCAAGCAAGCAAGCCAGCTGATACATGGGTTGGTCAGAACAGTGAATGTTTGCTTGCTATGAGCTTTTGAAAATATTGCGGGCTGGTTACAAGCAGACGCAGCAGTTATCGTGCCAACAGCGCAGTAGGCAGAGCAACAGCGAAATGAATGTGTTTGGAAAAGAGTATGCGTTTTTTCGTATGTATTTAGGCGATTTGTATGTGCGAATGCAAGTCTGACTGAGTATGTGTGCGCGCGCCAATGAAGTCATCCGTAGACCGAGACCATTCACGGAGCGCTGACAAAGCTGAAGCAGCAGATCGTTAACCTCAAAGTTTCTCATAGAGAAACCACAAGGTCGTTTCCTTTAGATGATCAACTGCGGTCGACCTACCATCACGCTGGGATGTGATTATGCGCGGGTATAGATGGATGTGTACATACATAGGTGAGTGGGTAGACAAGAGTAAGCATGTACATAAATACGTATAGGCTTGCATGTACAAATATAAATATAAATATAAAGTTTGGCCAACACATATGGCCTTTTGGAGTCACGCTGAGTAATCATGCGGCCAAGTGCAACTGCTGTTGCTAACTGCAATTGCTGCTGCAGTTTTTCAAGTCGGCGATCGGCGATCGCATGTTGAGTCAGGCGAGGTTTCGTGCATTTGTGTATAAAGTGTTTAAATTTTATTCATATTCTACTAATTTGTAATCTTCATAATCAAGCAGCGTTACCTTGCTTTTTTTTCTTTTGTTTTGGTTTTTTTTTTGCAATCTACGCTTTCAACTGTGAAGTCAAGTACTTTGCGCGCTAATCAGTGACCGGGGCTGGGTTGAAATCTATGGACAGTCAGGTACCTGAAGTAGCGCGCGAAGTGCCTGCCGAAATCAACAGAAACAAAGTCTCTCAAATGTGAATAGGTGTTGCAATCGCATTCCCCTATGTATATATATATATGTATATATATATTTATAATTCGACAAATGTCCCATGTCTATTGTACTTCATCAGGTGCTCTGGTGCTCGCTTTACCCGGCACATGTTGAAGTACATTCCATATGAGACTAAGTTCTACGATGTGCAATTAACAAACCAAAAAAAAAAAAAAGAAGAAATAAATGTGATAATTAGTGCAAACTTAAGAATGGAAGGAGAAAATACGTGGTTGGTAATTAAAACAAATTCATGCCTGCAAACAAAAGCGTATAATACTTACACATGGCATAAATGAATAAAATGCAAAATCGTCAGCGTTATATTTTTTTTAACTAAACTTAGAATGTAAAAAAAACTATCTAACATACATATGTATGTATATTGCCGTAATAAAATAATAGCAAATTAATATTACAAACTGTACATTTTTTGACAAAAAGCGCTAAAATCTACATTCAATATAAATAACATTTTTTGCCTTGCAGCCACAGCAGCAGTAACTCATCACATCAATACATCCCATCATATGTACATATATGTGCACACATCACCCGTAGACATAATAACAATGTAGCTTTTAATATTTGAAACTTAATTAAGTAACAGGCATCCGAAGACGGAGAAATGTAATGTCTGTGGCTAGGAGACTAGTAAAAAGCCAGCCACAAAAACAGGCGAAGTATTTAGAGGCAAGGATCAACCTACTTGGGAAAGGCCGTGGTGAGGTATTTCTCACCGTCTTATTCATACCGTTAATGACCCGTACAAAGATGGACGAATGCAAAAAAAAAATGATATGATGAAATATTTTTATCATTTATAAAGGATACCTGCATCCGATGAGCTAACCTCAGCGAAAAACTAAGTTCGTATAGGCTACTCTATCAAAAACAAACAAAGCTTCAATGCTTTTCTTCTCATGTCAGCGAAACTCTCCGATCAGCATCAAAACTCTTCACAGCGTCAAATGATAGCCAGCATGTTTTTAAACCATAAGGACGGACGAAGAGCGGTCTATTCAATTTCATATAAGCTATAAAGTCAGAGGCAGAAATGACACGATTATTTAATTTGTTATTGAATTTATATAGATCCACCTATGTATGTATATCATCTGCTGATTTATCAAAGCAGACTTTTTTTTTTAAATAAATGAAAATATTTGCTTAAAATTTTTGAGTTGAAATACATTTTAATAAAATCCATGAAATCGTTGGGATAATGTAAGTAAATATTTGGGACAGTATAATTTTTTCGAATATAAAATTTAAAATGTTGCCTACACTTAGGCGTTAAATCATACTTTCATGTGTCCAGTAGATACTGTCAACATGCTCCGGCCGTTTGTGTGTGTGTGGAGCACCTGTTTGAGCCGGACTGAAGTATATTCTTTAGAAGATATATTCAGTTTTAAAAACGAGCGTGGCTCATTCGCCATATAGAGGGGGAAAATCGTTGTCAAGATAAATAACAGATGGAATATTTGCGATTCATATGCCAGCACACATAGACTCTGCGTTCCTTCAAAGCGAAATTGAAGCAATCTACTTATTATGTTTTAAAGACTAAAACAACAAATTCATGTTAGAAATTATTTCCGAATTAAGGCCAAAAACACAGAACGGAAATAAGTCTATAAAACCAAAATTCACCATCAACAACAAATCTCCTCACAGTGGAAACCATTAGTGGTTGTACACTTTTTTTTTACAAATAATCTTTTTCTGAGAATTCGTTTACTTTTTAAATGTAAATACACAGTCTTAAAAGATAAAGCAGATACACCACGATCTTAAGATTTTATGGGCTTATAAAAATAAAGAAGCACAAAGAACTTCATTCCGACGACGACGACGAGTAGAAACATTATTGTTTTTGGTGGTTTAGTTTTTTCATATTATTATTCAAGTATTTCCAGTTTTTAAAAATGACAATAAAGTAGAAACTTTAATTATAAGACATAAGACTGTAATTAAACCTAACTAATTACTATATACATAAACAACTAAGTGTTACGCTTTCACACCATATGCCTCAGGCATACGTTCAATGGCATATTTGTGCGCTGCCACATACATAATTGGTACGCCCGGAATTTTGCGTATACGATTTTTTAAATCCTTATCATTGGTTGCTACTATATAGCATTTATGTTGACGTACTCGCTCTACCAAACAGTCATCGGCGTACGTGCCTTTATGCAAACATGGCAATCTTTCAAATCGTGGATCAGAAATAATTCGTAGCGCTAATTTATATCGACTGCCCAGCTTTTCCAACTCAGCACGAACACAATCCGAAATGTAGGGTATGCATTTGGCATATAAACAGTCCATCATACCTTGTATAATATCCAGTTTGTTTTTGATGCTAAAGTTGATGAAATTCGTATCAAGTATAATGTGATATGGTGGACCCAACTGCGTGTTGTATTGGAAGAAAAGTGCTGAACTTTGTTGTTGAACATTGTGTACTTTCAAGGCGTGGGGATCCTCAGGTTTCTTACGCTTCTTGCGTATTTCTTCCTTGATGCGATTATCAGTTGGCTTCAAAAGTCGTTTCAATCCTGCAGTGCGTTGTTTTTGTATTTTTCTCGTTTTCTTTTGCTTTCCCTGTAAAGTGTATAACATAGAGTCAAAAAAAATTTGTGTGCACTTTATTTTTCGTTTATTTACCATTGTACTTTAAAAATATGATTATTAAGCCAAAATAATTGTGTACAATTTACAGCACATGTATCTTTGACATATCAATGACAGCCGAACAGATGATTTTGTTTACATTTTATAATGCTGCCATATTTGTAAGAGAAAGAGGCATTAAATAAAACAGACTTTCTCAAATATTGTCTGCTGGTGTACTTAAAATTATAGTTTTAATTAATTCAAACATATTGAAATTCTATTGTTTTTTCAAAATTCAATATTTAAACAATCCTTTTCATCTCAATTCTTCAAGTTCATAATTAAAATATTGTATAATGTTGCAATTCATCTTGGCAACATCCGAAAAGACTATTGAGATTAGTACATCTACATTTATTGTGAATAGTGCACATTTTCTGAGATTTTCTTTACAGTGAAATGAGTAACTAAATGAGTGAGAGTAGTTTTCGTTTTCTTTACTTTTATTACTGGCCCATTTAACCTCAATAATATATTTTGCTGGTTATGTTGCTTTATAATTAATGAAAGTTATTAAATAGAATAGTGAAGGACGAGCTATGCAGGTAAGACAGGTAGTTACGCTATTGGCACTTGGTTGCCTGGTGCTAGGTGGGATGACCTCGGTGGTGGCAACTGAAGACAATGACTTCGCTGAATTCGAGGACTTCGATACCGATGATGAATTCGACCAGCCTATAACTGCATCAACACCAACAATTGGGGATTCCAAATCGGCACAACCAGTGGAAACACCTGAGAAACAGAAAATTGCCGAACCAGTTATTGGCAAGTCAGATGATTTCAAAACAGACGACGACGATGGCATTGTTGAAGATGATGATAACGAATTTGAACATTTTCAAGACGAAGAAGAATTTGAGGGTTTTGATGCAGGTGATAACAAGGATATACCTATAGATCAGAAAACTTCTGAACCCAAATTAACGGTAGCAAAAATACCTATGCACTTCCGGTAATTTTTTATTTAATTCATCTTTGTAAATTTTATTAACTTCCAATTAATTTCGATAGTACACATTGGGATTCATATTGGATGGAAATGCTTATGTTGGCTGGTTTATTAGCTTATTTCTCCAATTTCTTTGCTGGCAAAACGAAAAATGCGAGATTAGCGCAGTTATGGTTTAATACTCATAAGGGACTCTTAGACGACAACTTCGTGTTAGTTGGTAAGTAACCCACTTCTAATATATGTATATAAATTTATATTTTTTGTGGTTCGAAGGTGACGATGGTAAGCAAGAAAACGAAAATCCTGGCTTGATGAAAGAAAGTGAGAGCCTATACACCTTATGGTGCTCTGGCCGCACTTGCTGTGAAGGTATGCTTGTGGAACTGAAAATGATCAAACGTCAAGATTTGGTTGCTTTGATTTCCGGACTAATACGACCACAACAAGATCAAGTACATATAAAAGTTGAAATGACGCGAGGTGTAATGGATTCATTTGTATTTTGCGTTGGCTCAAGAAAAACTATAACTAAAGTTTTTAAGGAATATGCTGATTTGGTGTGTATTTTTATTAAATATACATAAAATATAAAATTTTTTAGAAATTACTTGTATTAATTACACTTTCCACACTTCTTTATAGAACAAATATTGCAGTCTAGTCAGTAAGCCGGAGGATCGCTACAAAGTACCTGCAGGATTTAGTGTGCTCTCAGAAATACCTGAAGCCACGTCAGCTATGTTGGAGGCACGCATTATCACTGCACTAAACAAATATCAGCGTTACATTGACTATATCCACATTTCTGATCAATTCAGTGGACCAATTCAACAAGAAGATGCCAATAATTTAAAACAGCCAGAAACTAAATGTATGCTAATGGCAGGATTTAATATGCCAAAGAGTGTCGATATGGAAGCGATTAAGCCTTTACTAATTCTGATTTTCTACTTAATGGAGCGCCTAAAGGTCTATCGAATGTCGAAAGAGGTAAAATATAATAATAATCTACTTTAAAAATATAACTAAAAATTCCAAAAACAATTTTCAATATCTGTTATAGGGTAAGAGCAAAGCGGAAAAGAACCGCTTGCGTGTTGAGGAAGAGTTCCTAAAGAGTACACATGCAGCACGTGCAGAAGCTGCTGCTCAGCGTCGTGAAGACAAGCGCAAGCAAGAGAAGGAACGCGTGCTTGCCGAGGACGACCCCGAGAAGCAACGCCGCTGGGAACTCAAGGAGCAGAAACGACAGGCTAAGAAAAAAGCACCTAAAATGAAACGTTTAGCAGTAAAGTCATTATAAGATTAATATATAACGTTATTAGACCAATTATGTTAGTCACTTTAATTGGCAGTATTTGCCGTTAATTCGATTTCGGCTTTCATTGTATGCTGGAGGCGATGAACTCCACACGTGTTGAAAGTTATAGCAATAAACATGCCATAAGCATGTCTACAAAGCCGTAGATAGCTATGATAATAACGCTGTTTCATTTACTACGCATGAACGATTTGAATGAACGTTTTAGCATTTCACAGGGAAACAATTTTCATTTGAGACGTAAGCAATATGGTTGCGCAATGTTTTGATTTGCTTTTGCGCTGCGTCGAAACTGTAAGAAAGGGTGTTGAGTTGCCCTTGCATCTCGCGTATGACAGCCTCACGATCGCTGACAGAAAGACATGCAGTAGCACGACATTGCGCCAATTCCTTTTCGAGACGATCGATTTGTTCCTGCATTTGACATTTAGTCGCCTCGGCGCGCTCCTTTGTACGTGCAATAATTTTAGCAGATTCCGAACGCAAAGTGTCTAAGTCGTCTTGTGTGGTCTTCAGCTTTTCACAGAAGAGATCTCGTTGTCTTTCCATTTCCTCAAAACGTGCCTTACATTGCTCCAGCTCTAGTTGACATTTCATCAGTTGTGGACGGCAATCGGTATCCTCTTTTGGTGATTCATGTTGCGCCTTTAGTGCTTTCAGCTCCTTGCAAATAAGCATCAATTTTCCTTGTAATTCCTCCTTTTCCTTGCAGGCTTGAGCCAATTTGAGTTGTTCATTCTCTAAGAGTTTGGGAAAATGCAGCAGCTCGTTGAGTTTCTCCTGAAACTTTGCACGAATCTCCTTAACTTCGGTGTTGATTTGCTTTTCGATACGCTTATTGTTCATATTTAATTTGTCGAGTGTCACACTTTGCTCTTCCACTTTTTGCTGTGCTACGAGATACTTATTGCGGTAATCTTCCAATTGCTGCGACTGTTCTTTCATAAGACATTTGAATTCCGTTTGCTCTTCCTTCAGGTCAGCAACACGTTGTCGCAACACAATGAGTTCTGAATGATCTGGATTTTGTCCTTCCCCTTGTCCGTTATTGTTGTTGTTGCAGCTGCCACAGAATCCTTTGAGACTGTAAAAAAAGCATTTATAAAAAATGTAATATCAACGTTTTTTCCTACGACTCACCGTTTCTCCATTTCCTTCAGCTGACAATCTTTTTTGGAAAATTCCGCTAATAAATGTAGGTAGTTTTCCCTCAACTTTGCCATCTCATCCGCCTTGGCAGTACGTTTACTTAAGCAAAATTGTATGGGATCAGGCTCCTCGGAACATATATCTTCCTTCTCCTCTTCCGGTTCGCATACGTGCTGCTTTTCACGCTCACGTCGATATATTTCCTGCTTTAGCTGACACACAGACGATTGCATACATGTAATTTTCTGCTTGAGTCGCTCCAAAGAGTCTGCGCAAGGCATCGATTCCGAGGAGCAGGGTCGATTGGCTTGCTTGTTTTTTCTCGCAGATTTAGCAAATGGCGGACATGATCCACGACAGGGTGGCAGTGTGGGTGGGCATGGTGGCGGGCAAGGAGACATACTTTTCTTCTTTTTGTGTCCCAACAACGCGCCCGCAATTTCCTGCACAAGCTTTTTATCCTCTGGGCAACAGATTTTCATCTTGCCCAATGCCTTGCATAAACAACGTAAAGCTTTCTCATCTCTAGAATCCTTTGGTTCAGCCGACGCACACTTATCCGTTTCACTACTCTCACCACCTTTCCAAGTAGCCGCCTGCGGTTGCGTCCAGCCAGCATAAGGCGCCATGTTATCCTCGTCGATGGTAGTGGCGAGTTGTATCTCGTGGTAACGTCGTTTAGAACCGAAATTCTGCAACTCCATTGCCTTGTTCATCAAGCAACGGAGTTTTATTATCTCTTGCTCCATGCATACGCGCAGCCGCTTAATATCCCTTAATTCGCATTTTGTCTTACAAGGCTTAGCGCACAGCTCCATAATTTGTGCTTTGATATCATCGACCATTTGGTTTTGACACTCGATTTCTTTGATTAAACTCAGGTACTCCATATAGCGACGCTTCTGCTCCGGATCGTCGGATGACTCGCCGAGGTATGAAAATATATCTTCGGTCGCTTCCTCGCCCTCTTCGCCCATATGGGTCGTATCACTCTGCGAATAGATACCATCTTCTGTACCGTAAACCAACTCATACTCTCCTTCATCTAAATTTTCCGAAGGTAAATTTTTATCTGCATCCTGTTCACTGGTCATTTTTATTTAGAATTTGACGACTGTTCTTCAATAGAAGTTACTTAGAATTTTGGAAGAATTATGTTAATTTAATTATTATATGAGTTTTCTTTGAGTTAATTTTTTCTAATTTTTCTCTTTATGTCAATGGATAATGAAATGTAAAACTTTGCCTACCTAAAAATTTTTACTTCGAAAATGTTAGCTCACCTCAGTGTTTCGCCAGGTAATTAACAGATTTTGAACAAAAAAGTTAGTACAAATTCGTGAGCAAGGAGGTGCTCTCTCTTACATTGGCTACTCTCTATGTGACGTCACAAAAACAATGTTTTCAACTATAACCTCAAGCATTTCTGTAACGTAGCTGCTTTGATGGTTTAAAGACTGTTAAGACTGAATCTTGAATTGGTAAAGTGTGTACCAAAGAACGTCGCACATAAATCGAATTGATATTTTTAGTTTTGTAAGTGAGTAAAATCATTCTTTTGTTTTGATAAAATAGCTCAAAGTCAATACGTCACGCCTGAGGGTATGCAACAATTTAAATTAAAATTAAATCATGTATTTAAGTCTGATTTTCATTATAAATTCTATTCCCATTGAATAAAGAAATCTGAAATAAACTTAAAAATGCTTTTAACGTCTTTATCACGTCAATCCTAGCGTAACGTCGTCCTTTCATGGGTCTCTTCAGTTTAGGGAACAAGAAAAAGTCACAGGGGGCCAGATCTGGGGAATACGGTAGCTGCGGCATCATTAGTGTGTTGTTTTTGGCCAAAAAGTCGCACACAAGCAACGATGTGTGAGCAGGGGCGTTATCGTGGTGCTAAAGCCAATTTTTGATCTTTCACCAACCCGGGCGTTTCTGGCGGATTGCTTCGCGCAAATTGCGCATAACTTGCTGGTAATATTCCTTATTGACCGTTCTACCCTGTGGCAACACCATTTTCTCCACTTCATTAATTTTTTCGTCGTAGGGCGTTCGGCACGCTCTTCGTCGTTCACATCTCCTCGGCCTTCTGAGAACATTTTGTACCACCGATAAACCTTGCTTCGGTCCAAGGTAGCTTCTCCGTATGCTACAGTCAATATTCGGAATGCATCCGCACACTTAATTTCGTTTTTCACACAAAATTTTATACTGGTTCTTAGCTCAAAATGTCCGAGCTTGCCGGCATAAGTGACAGACATGAGTACCAATATAACGCCACGAAAAAATTGAAATTCGATTATACGTAACCCGCGAAAATTACCTTTACTGCATATTTTTGGCAGAGTCCAGGATTAAAATGAATATTTAGACTAATGTAATTTAGAGTTTCTGGAAGAATAATCATACCCACTCACAGTCATCGCCGTCCAAGAAGTGCAGGACACCAGACGCAAGTTTTTTGGGTTGGTAACTAAAGGGTGTCTTTTTTTTAGAAGTCCAGCTTTCAATGGGGCAGTGCCTTCTTAGGAATCTGTCTTTTTGACAGCTGTTGCTTGATTTATACTCACTTTGGTTTGTCATTTCATAATGAACAGAATTGCTCATAAGAAAATTTGTTCCGCGATAAAGCTCACTTTTGAGTGGAGTGATGATAATCCGTGAGCCTTTGTGGCGACACTGTTATATCCTGAAAAAGTCAGTGTTCGGTAGGCTCGATGAAGAGGGAATCTTATCCATATTTCTTCCTTAATTAAGCCGAACATAATGTTACGGTGAATGGGGAACGCTTTAGAGCCATGAATAATGACTGTTTCGTATAAGTGGATGTTGATAAAGTTGATCTTTGATTCCAACAAGACAGCGCTACTTGTCACTAAGCCAACGAAATAATCAATCTGTTGGAAGAAACTTTTTGTAAGCCCATTATCTTTCAACGAGAGTCTGTGGCGTGGCCTCCAAGATCGTGCCATTTAACAACGTTGGACTATTTTTTGGGTTGGATTATGTGAGGTCACTTGTCTACTCAGTGACCAATTGATGCAAAAAGTGTTTAAAAATTGGGGCGTTCGGCTAGAATTTATTCGAGCCGCAAAGGTGGGGGCACTTGACCGAAATCATTTTTAAAATATAAAATTATAATAAAACTGAATTTTTGGTGATAACCAGAAATTACATATCTATTATTTCTTGTTGAACACCACATGTCTAAAAGAAAACCCACCACAACACAATCGTTAGTTCTTCTTTTTCCAAATCAGACAAAGAAACTAAGCGGATGAATCTAGTAGTGAGCGAGGACACGACGACATACTTCCTTCCATTAAAGAAAGAGTCAGCGCACTCACAATCCGGAGACAGCATCAACACCAATAACGATATCAACCTGGAGATCCAATGTAGAATTACTTAGGCCAACAGGTGTTGCTTTCGATTGAGTAAGCAATAAAAAAGTAAAGACTCCTTTTGACGAACAAGACCCAAGCTCCACAAGTCGTTCATAATCGCCGTCCTGCTGTGGTGCGAAAGATGACAACATCCGATGAGTAGGTCCTAGGAATTCTTTTTTGATAGAAAATCTTTATTGACATAATTCAGCGAATCAAGAGACATTGGCTGGGCTGACTAGATCATGTTTTTCGAATGAATTAGAGCACTCCAGCTCTGAAAGCGGAGAAAGAGGAGGACCAGGTGGGGTTGCGTAGAGTAAAAGTTTTTACTCATGCCACGTTTTCTTACGGAAACAGTTTGAATTTTACTTTATAGTTTATTGAATGTGTACCGTAATTCCAATGTATGCGATTATGTAATTAGAACGAGATCATTATACTCGTCTTGTAATTCATCTCATCTTCATTTCCTTAAGGCAAAAGAAAATATTTGAACGCAAAATATAAGCAATCGCTCTAAATTGATCACACATCCTTCAAAGTTTGTTGTCGTTTGAAATTATTTTTTGGATTTTGAATGAAAAGAGTTTTGAAAAATTTTCTGTTGGTAAATAGAGTCCCGATTTCGAAATAATTATTTGAAATTTTGCACACACAAGCATAACAACAAAACCGACTTGTGCGCCTCTTTGTAGAAAGACAACTCCTTTCAAATAGGACGCAAATGGATCGAAAAAGTCAAAATTTGGAGTTCACACAAAAGTTAAGTGCAAAAGCAGAGGAATGTCTGGAGCGCCGTTCCCATCCGTATTTCACATTGTCACGGCAAACGTGTGCCTCCGGCGGTGATATGGTAACCGCATCCGATGGCTTACATTGTAATTCGAAAAATTCAAGTTACCAAAATTTAAGTTTCAAGAGTGACCAGTCGGAGGAGCAATTCGAAGATGCCATACAAAATGTTGATGGAGAAACCGTAAAGGCAACCACAAGCGATATGAGTAACTCTCTGGAAATGAGATCGTCATATCATCACGCTACCGGCAAGCGAAAATCGAAGCATTCCGAAGTCGGTTCGAAGTTAAAAGCTGAACTATCCAAGTACAAGAAGGAGCTGAAGGAGTATAATAACACCACCAAAGATTTGGAAGAGAAGTATATGAAGATCAATTTCGAATTGAATGAGATGCAGCAGAAACATGATCGGTTTGTAGCGAACCGCAAGTGTTCCAAGGGCACGGATGTCTACTCGGACAGCAGCAGCAGTACTGGTTCAGAGTTCTCGTTGAAACGAAAATACACCCAAATTTTTCATCGAGGTAGCAGTTTCATGACAGTGCTGCCACCCGGTTGCACGACATCAAATGAAAATTTGGAAACTGAATATAACATGCCCGAGCAGGAAGTAACAGTTAGTCGACGGAAACGTAAACTCTCATCAACCTCTGAATATTCAAGTCTGCGACAGCAGAACGGTCAATTGATCCAACAGAAACGGCACATAAAACGCAAGTCGGAGAACAAAGAGAACGAAGTGCCAAACGACACGGAGAAGTACAGCTCCCGTGCGCATACGGCCGGCTTGAAGGACATCTACAAGGTACTCAAAAATGTATTGGACAATAATCAGAAATCACATGGACTAAGCAAAACCGCTGACCTCAAGGAACTGCAAACGATCATTATGAATCTACAGACGGAGCAGTCGCAGTTTCGTAGCATAATACAGCAACAACAAAACTGTTTACAAGACTACCATACGCGCTGCATCAAGGCGCAGCACATCATGCAGACACAGCAAATCGAAATTGAGAAGCTCAACTCAAATAACCACCAACTCGAGACCGAAATCAGCACCGGCATCGATCAGCTGCGCCAGAAGATCGATTCTAAACTGCGCGACGTTTCACATCTGCCACAAATCGTGCGCGAGGAGCAGTCCAAATACGAAAAGGTACACAAAGAGAATAATATGCTGAACGAACGTGTGCGTATACTGCAGAACGAGGCGAGCCAGTTAAAATTGAAAATGGACGAGCTGGCGCGTCGCAAGGTGATGACCATTAATCGTCTGAAAGCGGCGGAACGCGATTTGAAGATCTTCAAAAACTACAACACAGCGCTGAAACACGAGAAACGTAAACTGGCTGAGGAGATGCAAAAGCAGAAGGAGCAGCTCGATGGTGTTCAGAATGCGAGCAAACGTACATTGGCCCGCCAGCGTGAACAGACAGAGAAGCAACGACGTGACCTGCAAAAGCGTGTCTTCGAGCTTGAATTAAAGCTGAGTCGTAGTCAAAATTCAACGACGAGCCTAATTCAAGAGCGAGACAGTCTGATTGCGGAGTTACAGACGCAGCTAAACACGCTGGTGCACAACTTTGAGGTGTCGCAGAAGCACATACGTGTGCTGAGGCGTCACATCTACTCCATGTCTGGCGGTAATGTGCGTTGTCCGAATTTGTTGAGCGAGAATATGTGAGGTGATTTTAACTGGGTTGGGTGAGCAGTGTAATATTTTCAACATTAAAAATCAAAAGATCATCGTGGCCGCTACTTTTTTTCAAAGGATAGTGCAGCGTTTTTTTACGATCACCCAAGACTATTTGGAACACGTAGTGCTCGGGAAGGCTTCGTCGATTTCACGATTGTCATTCACACTATGTGCTTCAGTTTCTTGTAGGCGGACGCTTAGGAACCGGCGCTCATTGGTAATACGAATAATTGCTTCGTTTGATAGCCTAGGTATACTGTTTCAAATTTATAGTAAAGTCATAAAATAGCAAAATGAATCTTCTTTTTGTGTGTAAATTTTAAAATAAATGTCCAAAAATTTCTTCTACGCTTTAACTGATTTCTTCTTTCGTAAAGAAGGCATTGAGCCGAGTGGCCGTAGTCGACTCTCCACAGGGAATGTCAGCCCTCCGAGAGTATTTCACTCTTGAAAATTCTAGATCTTCATAAAAATCCATTATTTGTTCGGAGGCGGCTCCTTTTAACCTGTAGGTCGATTCATTTGAATGAAAAGCATTAAGGCCCATACCACAAACCCAGGAAGGCGCTCGGCCGAAAATTGCTTCAACGGTTGCATAGCGTTTGAAGAGTTTTCTATTCCGCAAGATCGCATATGTGCTAAAAATAAACCACGAGTCTCTTTCTGCGAGTTACTTTTGTCTCATTTGGATACAATATTTTTGTAAGCTGCATAATCCAATGAAATGACAATTGCTAAAGGCGTGTATGCGGTCGCTTTTAGAGTTTCCATAAACCAAGTGGCCACATTTTGGACTTTTAATGATCCATCCCTCCAACATGGAGCCTTATTCGGAACTCAGACATATGTGTTTCATCTGAAGAAAACTTCACAGCTTAGCTATCACCCCTTCTCTTGGCCGAGTCACGTGGTTCATGGATGCTCCATGCGGAGGTGCACGGGTTTTACGCGCAAATATCAGGAGTCGGATATCGTTTACGCAAGCACACACTTTTCTATAGAGTTCCAAGCATATCTAGTCTATGGTCCTGCCCCGAAAAAAGCCGACTAAATGTTTATATATTAAACTGAACCATACCTAACCATTTTTTTTGGAATAAAAAAAGTCAGGTTCACTTTCCGGAGTAAAAAGTGTCTGCTATATAATATTACGCAAGAGGCTACCTATATAAAATTTCAAGTAAATGGAACTAAAAGGACGATTTCTCCAACAGGTCGGTTCATGATTCATTTTCCAGATTTCCTTGGCTATTCTTCTTATTTGGACGGGGGAAAATCTCTATTGGGGCGAATTAGTAACTGACGTGGGTGATTCAAAATTACGAAGCCTACTTTATGCAGGGCAGTCAACGCAAGCGGCTTTTATTTTTGTTGGGCTGTGAGTATTCTTAGTCATACGCCAAGATGATCGTGCAGGATTAACAAATTTCTTGTATCAGATAGATACTCCTCTGCACGTTGTTTCTTCTTTAGTTGCGCATCGCCGAGAACAATTTTTCTAACTTCTAGGATAAGTTCTGTCGAGGTCATCTGCACGACCTGACTTCAAAGGACTCCTTTCGTTGTTTAAATAAACTGTGTCATTTGTCTCAATCAAGCTCTCGGAGCTTCTAGCGAGTCAGTATACATATATGTGTGTGGTTTGACGATTTCCTGTTGAAACAAAACCCTCCTCCTGTTGGCTAAAGCTGGGCGTTTTTGGTCGATTACTTTCCTCAGACAGTAAATAAGAGTTTGGCCGTCAATACAGGCTTTGATACCATTTCTGCTGGTCGACCACGACTGTGTTCGCTTGACGTTATCGTAAGTGGTCCATTTTTTTAATTACCATTCACCATTTGCTTCAGGAGTGGATCGATTTTGTTATGATCCAGCAGTGATTCGCAGATCGGTCTATGAGATTTCTCTCGTGGCACCGCGCACTCTTACAGTATCAAGACAATAAACACTTTTTAATTTTTCAGCTGTCTGCCATGCGTTTCCGCCTTCATAGAGGATAAATTGTAGAAATGCGTATTTTCCCCTTGCTGGTGCCCATCTTTGGGATTCCTTCAAACACTGCAGAGTTAGGTCATCAGCACTTCTCCCATAATCTTTTTTTTAGGACAAATATTATCTTTCTATTGTTATCCATGTATTTCAATCCCACTCATTAAAGCAAATAAGTATTCTTAGCAAATTATTGACCCAAACAATTGTCCCATATCTCGAAACTCGAAGCTGCCTTAGCTTGACTCAAATTTTTTGGTTTGTTTCTCAAAAAAAAGGGCAAATTTTCTAGTCATTTTCAATAGCCCTTCTTTGCCACTCTCATTGAGATTGCACATACGTGTATGTACATACATTTAGGCATAAATGATACTTAAATTTCGATCGTAAAGTAGTGCAATTTCCAATTTTCATTCTACTTTTAATTACACGACGAATTCAGTGCCGCGCGACTGCACGCCGCGCATAAAAACCAAAATAAAAACATTTTATTGTTTGTCAACACATTTTGTTATTAGCATTTGCACATACATACATTGCTTATATGTACATACACAAAAATATTTCAGAATTAATTTCATAATATTTTTACACACTATAAATACGGCCACAGCGCAATCAGCAGCGAAAAATGTACGTAAACGTAATTAATATTCGAAAAACGTAAAATCAAAACAATTAAGTTCTCAGAAGGTGTTCACAAATTATAAACACGCATTGATATACTACATGCATACGTGTATGTATGTGTGCATTGAAAATAAGTTTTGGCCATCAAAGGCCCTCTGAACATTAAGCGCTACGTGCCGATGCGTCGTGATTGTTTATAAACTTTGATTTCTCGACACTTCAAATTGCGGATTTCCATCGACGCAATTTCTCGCTGCACGGAAGAGTGCTGAGTTCTCAAATGAGTGACATAGAGGAGAGCACATACTTGTACTTTCATGTACACATCCACATACATACATACGCATGTAGAAGGCATAGCTAAAATTAGACAATCCGCAAACGTAGCGCCGCCGCTGTTCCACGCAAAGCTAGCAAAAACTTATAGACGCAAGTTAATATGTAAATATGTATGTGTATATATGGACGAATGTATGTGTAAATATGTATGATTTTCCGTTGAATAAATGTATACAAAATCACTTACACCTTTTTGTTTTTTTTTTTTTTATAAATATTTGCCAGCGGCAGTCTCTAGCCGCTCGCACCACGGAGCGTCTGCTCATTAAGTATGTGTGCGGTAGCGGCATTGACGGTGCCGGGGACGCTGGCGGGCATTGAGGTAAAGACTTTTGGCTAAATGTTTTGTTTCAAAATTCAAATTGAAATTAAAATCAGCAGCTACCGACGCAGTGGGCAGCTGAAGGAATACAATTTAATGCGAGCAATTTTTTTGCCTCAACTTGCTCGGCATGCGGCTGCTCGGTTAGTTAGATATTGGAATTTGCATTTGACGTGCCGTGGAGCGGATGTACGGGTTTGCGGGATTTAGTGAAAAAGTGAATTTCTACGAATGCGCCGTGTTTATACACCTGTGGGCCTGTTGTCTTTGGTCCAGCTGCTTGTGGGTGTAGTGCGTATTGCGTCTGTCGTCGCCATTGTAGATGCTGAAACCTGTTGGAATGACAGCCAAGAATGTGTCATACAAGCAACGCTACACCGTGTCAATGAGCCGCCACAGTCCGCGGGGCTGGTCGTGCAAATCGACTGTCAAACAAAAGTTGAATTTACAACGGCCGCCGATGGCAGTCACACGCCTACTTATCTAGCGCGACCTTTGCAGAGTTTGCTGCTCGATGGCTGTCACACGCCTTTGGGTGTGGAGACCTATGGCATAGAGTATTTGCCAAACTGTGATACTGTGCCTGTAGTGTATATGGAACGCTTCCATGCGGACACGCTACAGCCATATCACTGTCCAGGTGTAAATGGCACTGATATGCAGGTGGAGGTACTAAACTATCGCGATAATGAATTGGCAACTATCGGCGCAGATACGTTCGTGAATGTACCACAATTACGTGAACTGTACTTTGCGCGCAACTCGCTACGTCACATACCGCGTGCAGCCTTCGAGGCACTGCGCGTTGTCGAGCGTATACATATCGTAGATGAGCCATTGTTGGCGTTGAAGAATGCCGATTTGTTCGAGCGCACGGGGGTGGCTGATTTACAGCTGATGAGGTTGAAATACATCACCTCCGAACTATTTAGCCATCTGCCTGAGACACTGCGTCAGTTGGTCGTAGTGCGCACAGCCATCGATGCGGACGCCGTTGTGGTGAGTAATCCGCAGCTGCTGCGCAATATATCAATCAACGGCTGCACCTTGAAATCGTTTACGCTGCTCGAGTCTGCGGCAACAACCAGCGTGCGTTACATCAATTTGAGTGGCAATGCTTTGGCTGAGTTTCGTGTGGATTTTCTCGGTTACAGCAGCAACGATTCCATTGTGGCCTTGGAAACGCTTGATTTGAGCGAAAACGAACTAACGCAGCTGCCGTTGTCATGGTTGAGCGGTTTGAGTAAGTTGCGCCATTTGCTATTGCGCGGGAATCATTTGAAGATGCTCTCACTGCCGGCATTGATGTTGGCGCTGCCGTTAGCAGCGTCACTCGATTTGCGCGACAATAAGTTGACCGCGTTGCATGATGCCGCCGAGGCGTCTGCTCTGAGTTGGGCACAAGTGCGTATACAAATCGATCGGAATCCGTGGAATTGTTTGTGGCTGCTCGAGTTCGCGCACACACATCCCGAAAAGTTTCGTGTTTTCCAATATGCCAAATATATTTCGCAGATAAATGTGAATGGACTGCAATGTGTAGCGGCAGAGGTGCCAGCTTTGGCAGAGAATGTAACGGAGAACGAATTGTTGGCTAATGCTACAACAACAACAGCGACAACGATTGTGCGTGGCATTCAAATCCAAGATCATAGCAATAATGTGGTCAATGCATCCACTTTTAAGCTTATCTACGGCGGCCCATGGGAATACAAGCGTAGCCAACGCGCTGAAGCTCTGATCATTGTATTCATGCTGCCCGTGGGCGTGGCTTTACTCTTTCTACTACTTTATATGTGGATCAATTGCCAAAAAGTTTTCCATTTATCATATTATCGCTCCTTCACCTGGTCACAACGCAATAATGGCAGACGCTTCAGGAGTGCCGAGTGTTTCGATGTCGTCCGTCAATTGCCACCAACACCGAACGTGTCTAACGGCGACAATGGCAACAATAACGACGACTATGAGACCCCGTTGAGTGGCATTGGCTCTATTTGTAATTGCAATCACATCGGTACGGGTACCTACGCTAACGAGAAGTGTGGTAAGTCACATCATATCACCTACGAAGAGCTGCCATCGGAGCGACCGTTTAAAATCTATGAGGAGATAATTGGCGATGATGCGACGGACACCGAGACGTATGCGCAACCTTTTTACGATCATCTCTCCTATTCACAACCCGTCAGAAGCGATGTGACTGCTTCGATGTAATGCGAGGGTGGAGCGATGTTGGAGGAGATATTGGCGCGTTTACGAGGTAGGAAGGAATTTTAAATATTAAATGAATATAAAATGGCAATTTATAGATCTCTAAGAAATTGTTACAACATTTATTTAAGTGCGAATTTTGCTTTCTATGTTGAAGTGTAGCGTGAGAAACTATTTTATTTTGTGAGTATCAAGCCTAATGGTGGCCCCTTTCATTGGTTCTATATTTATTAGTGATTAAGCCTGATACTCCTTCATTGATAAGCCAATTTTGGCTTTAAATCAAATTGTCTTAAGAGTTTGAGCAAGCTGAGCAACAGATCAAAAATTTTCAACTTTGCTATATTTTCTTCTTCAAAGGACCCGATCCGGTGAAGCTCGAAATCGTTGAAAAAGCCAGTAGACGGAAAAAGAAAATGTCGGAAAAACGGCGGGTGAGGGAATTCCTCTCATTTTAGCGTTCCCAGGTAGTGTTTCACTATTACAGTCATGCAGGCAAGAACAAAATGCCAACTCAAAATCACTTTGTCATGCCTTTCGGCCGAAAAAATTTTGCCTCAACGGTTTCGCCTGGGCTTAGCACCTCATAGTAGCAACTCATAGTAGTATCTACAATACGCCTAACTGGTGCCATCAAAACTTACCGCTAATGCTTTTTATTTAACACAAACCGGGGCATTTTAGAAGAGACAGAAAACACTGTTGTTGTCAGAAGCAGACGCTGGTGTACTCTAGTTATTGTTGACTGATATGAAACGTTTCCAATGAAATAGGTAATCGGTTCAAAGATCGGCAAAAACTTGTGGAGTCATCATTTGGAAACGTATCCCAAAAGTTAAAAAAGTAGAGAAAAAAGTAGAACTTTTCGTTCGAGATGACTGGGAAAGCTCGAAAAGCTCGAACTCGTGTCCAAAATTTTTCGAGTAATGAGCAACGAACAGTTTTGTTCAAATACTGGAGCTGCTTTTAATGTATTCGAAAAAAATTTTAAACTCTTGTCTGTCTGTCATGTTATGTTACGTAAGTTAAATATTTTTTTTATTTTTCCAGATTATATTTAACCACACTTCAACACAAATCAGGACAATCAACCAATGAAACGTGATTACTAGTTATTTTGTATAATATTTGTATGTATATAAGGTATAAATAAAAATTTTATATTTTTCATGAGCGATATTTTAATTTTGTTATTTATTCTTTTAAATTAATTATAATTTACCTAAAATTTTGTATGTTTATTTAAAAGTATTAATAAATCGTGTAAATAAATAATAAAATGTTAATAGTTTTCTTGTCATTTGTTGTATCTCAAAAATTATTCACGTTAATATATATTTGTAATTGTAATTGTAAAATAAAAGACAAACGGAAAATACGTACACAAGTTCAAAAATTCAAAGGAACCACCAAGCGCGGCATCTATGATCTAAATTTACGCATATGTGTAACGGCGCTTAGCTCTATTGGCCGTTTTAAGCGCCAAGGTAGTGAGCTGAACTGTGCGGCGCGCCATCTCGTGTTGGTTTTTAACCATTTAAATTTTTTATACATATGTTATTTAATATGTTAAGAATACATCTATTTATATCTAGATTTAATATTATATATAATGTATTTAATTATTTTTTGTTATTTAATTAATAATATTATGCATTATTTTTTATTTTTAAACACATTTCATAAGTTAATTTCCAAACAGCGCATGACTTAGCAGGAGCGCGTTTTGTTATGGAGTAAGTGCAACCATAGCAACCTGCATTTGTTTTCCACTTCCTCATTCACTTAGTTTCTTTTCTTAATTGTTGGAAAAATATAAAAGTTCTTCGCTGTAAAGTGTACAAATTTCGTAAAATATGCAGGGAGATCAACACGAACTAAACACTTTACCTGTAACCACATTTCAATCGGATGATTTATTGGAAAAGTTGAAAATGCTGAATTATGAAAAACAATTGTTGAATGAATTCAAAATGAAACCACTCTCGCGTTTCTACTTTGTCAAATCGTTCAATCCGGGCGAGCAGTTTTTCATGTTTACTCTCATTTGTTGGTGGTTATGCCGCAAGTTGGGCAAGGAGATGGATAGACCGCAGGAATTTGACGATCCGAACACAGTGGTTGCCAAAATTGTACAAATATTGGATAATATGGTATAATTTGAATTACAAATATAACAAATAATGAATATCGATTTCATTTTGCCTTTGTTTGCAGGACGTGCAAGTAGACTTTCCGCCCAATAAACTTATACGCGGCGCAGGGCCCAGTTGTCTGACCGTTTTGGACATACTCGCAACGCAAGCGTCCAAAGTGGCGCAGGTGAGTTGAATTCGCATAGGTCGGTGAAAATCACTGTAAAACCCTTTTATACTCTACAGATAAGCTACAACCGCCCACATATAGCGCAAGAGGATGAAGTCGCTGCTGATTACTTGGAGGATAATGCCGAAATTATTTTGGAAAAACTAGAAGATGAACAGAATGCCGCGCTGAGTGATGATAGCGACATGGAGGTCAACGGCGGTGGTGGTTTTAAAAATCTCAATTGGATTAACCGTGCTCGCCGTGCAGAGCGTAACCACAATATAGATTTACCCGATGATAATCGAACGGCTGAGCGTTTTACCGATCAGCAGCAATGGAGACAGGAGTTCGAGCGTGTGCTGCCACATCTGAAAGTCTACGTAAAAGCTGATGCTCGCGATTGGCGTACACATTTGAGCCAAATAGAGTCGTTGAAGGGTAACATCGATGAGGTAAAATTAATAGAAATCAAGTTCATAATTAATAATCAATTATAATTATTTTTATACTTTTATTAATTTTCTAAGTGTTCCGAGGATACTCAAACACAATTGAAAAAGTTGCACAGTGAATTCACTTTTAGTTTGGAGAAGATCGAAAGTCGTGAGAAACATTTGAATAATGAATTACAATCCTACGTACGTCAGTTTAAGGAAATCTCAATTGAGCTGTCCAATGTGCAGCACGCACAATCTCAGGTGCAAACCGATACAGAGGCTTTGATGACACAATTGAATACAGTTGTACAGGAGAATGACATAAAGAAAAGCGAAATGGAACGTCGTGGCCAATCAATGTCCGATGGCAGTAAGTATACTTTCCTTTGAATAAACTAATTTTGGTACTAATTATAATAATAAGTTTTTCACATTTTCTTATTTTTAAAGGCTCGGTGGTGAATATAAAGAAGGCAATAAATAAGCTAAAAGAAGATACAGCGCAATTAAATTTGGAGGTAGCTCTGCTGGTGCATGGCATTGATCAGGATATTCTGCGACAAGCTGGCGGGTTCACTGATGTCGATTCTGGCTATGATTCGGGAACTGCTAAGGCATTTTAAAGGATAAATATCGGATGATAAATATTGAATTTATGGCATTTATTATTAATAATGATAATTTAATATATTTTATTTAAAGCTGCAATTCCACAGAGTTAAATAAATTGAAATGGGAATGACCAGAAACGGTTCCCGCGTAAATAATTCACGGCTCATGGCTTTCACCTTGGGGATGAGTTAAAGTTAAAAGCCGAAGAACGTCTGACTTTTGTATATGTAGAGCTTGGGAGTTAATGAGAAGAATTAAAGGCCCGAATTCGAAACTTTATTTAAATGACAAGAGATGTGATGTACAAGACAAGCACGGAAGTACAATACAAGTAGATACAGAGTATAAGCGACCAAATGAAAGTGTCCAAATTTACAATAGAGTTAGTGATAAAAGAATCTGAATCGCAGGACATTGGCAGGAGTCATTTCTACGCCACAACGGACACGTTAGTTGGAATTGGAGTTGAAGCAGAGCGGACAATGAACAATGAACGAGTGTGCGAGTGCTTTGATATTTATATGAATTCGGTTAAGTGGTACTGTTTAAGTGTGCAACATTAGTCTATTGTGAACTCCGTGCGCGCCAAGTTTCCGATGTTCCATTTCCCTTCCGTTTCCTCCTGTAATCCTTTGTTTACTTCTTACCTCTGTTAATCAGCCGAACGACCACTTAGCCGCGGTAATTCGAGCTAACAGAAAGTCAGTTTTTGAAAAACCATTAAACCGATTCCCATCGCGCGCGCAACAAGGTGGAGGTATTCGATGTTCGTTATAATCTTAAAGTTAAAGTTGTTGAGAGCTTCCATATGGAAATATAAGTCCTTAAAAGCTTTGCAAAAATATTTTGCGTCTACGATGTTATATATAACATATTTAATCGTTAAGTATACGGGTGTCGTAAGGTATAGTCATCCGACTTAAAGTAACAATCACTGGAATAAAGAATAACAATGTTCTTCCTTATGACTTTTCAAAGGTTCATATACCTGAGACCAATCAAAAAATTTACGTTCTTTTCGGATGTCTATGCGGTGATTTTATTTCTCAGGGCATTTTGCCTCCAGTTAGAAAAACGTTGCTGTTCTTTGAACGAAAGCAGATAGTCGTTTTGACCTTTGGAAATTTGCCGGACACATATATATTAATTTCTCTATTTTCTCCTCATTTTCCACGTATTTCCTGTGTTTTTGATTGTCATCGAACTTGAATGAATGATGAGCCACCTTCCTACTAGCAACTTGGAGTCTGCCCATTTTGACGCTAGTAAGGTCTTCATAAGCTTCTCGTTATATAACTATTTTGCACATAATTTTCACTATTACACATTGCCTTCGCTTGGCGATAAAACATTGTTTCTCGTTCAAGTTTTACTTCTCTTCTGTTTTCAGACCGTATTTGAATCTCTTCTTTACATAATGCGACCACAACTGACTTCGTGCTGTACGAAATAAAGGCCTTTATGGCTGCTTGACTATCCACATAGATGTGTATTGTATATTGCCGTAGCTCTGCCACCAATTTTTTAGCAACAATTTTGTCATGGGCGATACTGCAATTTGGGTACCGACCCCGTTGCTTCGTTCATTTTAGAACAATCTGTAAAGACATGTACAGTTTTATCTGCACATCTCAGGCATTTGATACAGCCATTGGCCTGTATCGTGGTTGAGAACAACTTCCTGGAATTCAGGCGTGGGATTACGCAGTCTATTCGTACGCTCAGAGGTAGCCTTATATATCTATGAGGGTAAGTCTTGACTTTCAGTATTGGCTTAACAACAGCAGTGAATATCCAATGGAAGACCTCAGGTGGAGCCCAATATTCCCGCTGATCACTTCTTCACTCGCTACTCTACATTGAGCTTTCATGACAACTAGGCTTTAGCTGTAAAGTGTCCTCTCCTCGTTTTGGTTTAATCCAAGCTGGTATTTTGTATTTTCTTGTAAATAGGACCATATCTGTTGATTGCTCCTGTATATGTACAAATATAATTATTCTATGTGAATGACTGACGCTGATTGTAGAGGTCTGAAACTTGGTTATTTCTAAATTCTAACTTTAATGGATTGAAAAATCAGGGTAAGTATTTATAGTTCAATTTGCTTGGTATTTGGAACATAACTAGCTCTTTGCCTCGCTTATTATACCTGGGGTCAAAAAGTAGGATGAATTTCTTTTTAAAATTAAAAATCTTTATTTATTCTTCTACATCAATTCCGTCGCCTTCAATATAGCCCCCTGCCGATGCAATGCGCTTATACCAGCGCTTGTTCCAACTATAGAAGCAAGTCAAATAGTCGCGTTCTGGTATGGCCTTCAGAGAGCACACCGATTCAGGTTTAATCTCAAAACAGTGTCCGCGAAGTAGTCTCTTGAGGTTTTGGAAGAGCCAGAAGTCACATGGTGCTAAGTCCGGCGAATACGGTGGTGAAATTTTTAGCGAAATGGTCACGAAGAATGTGTGCTGTATGCGACGGTGCATTATCGTGATGCAAAAACCAAAAGTTGTTGGCCGATAATTCTGATCTTTTTTTGCAAATTGCTTCAAGCAAACGTTTTTTCAGATCTTTCTGATATTTCAACCATATCAGTAAGGTCTCTAACAGTCAACCAACAATTTTTGATCACTAATTCCTTAATTTCATTGACGCGTTGCACATCAGTTGACGTCGAGGGTCGCCCCGAGCGCTCCAAGTCATTAACAAATTTCCGACCCTCTTTGAAGAGTTTGCACCACGTATACACGTTCTTCTGCGACATGGTTGAGTCCTCAAAGGCTTTTTGTAGCATCCTCAACGTTCCAGCAACTGAAAATTCGTTCCGCAAACAAAATTTGATCGCACTTTTTTGCTCAATTAAATCAGACATTATAACAACCGCCGAAGGCACTTTTAGTCGTTTAGTAAACACAAGTGTAACTAAAATACCAATGATGATATTGAAAAAAAAAAAAGAATTAACCAGAAATATTAAACGAGCGAAGCGTAAATTAAAAATTCTCATAACTTTTTGCCCACAGTGTATAGAAAACTTATGTTATATTATATAAGTGATTAGCAGTGCGTATTGCAATTCTGAATACCAATGTCCTGGTCAGCCCAACATTTAAGTTAATACAAATAAATTTTTCTAGTTGCAGTCGCCCCTTGGCAGGGAGTATCAAGCCCTCCGAGTTTATTTCTGGCTTGAAAGCTTATCATAGAAATCCATCGGCTTTTCGGAGGCGGCTTAGTATTACATGTACATAAGTCTCTCCATTTATGGGTTAAACATCAAGCCGCACATTACAAATTGGAGCAAGGCTCGGCCGAAAATCGCCTTCAAGATTTCTAACTTCAATTTTTTCATGGCAGACTGTGTGGTTTGAGGGTGATGATTCCAGGACACAACCTCCACCATATTTTCGTGTAACGAGTAGATTACATTATTATCATTTTAATTTTTTTTTCTTTTGTTGACTAAAATGAAAAGCGCTGAAAGTTGCCGCGAGTGAACTAGGTCTCGGTCAGATGACTGGAAGCTGGTAATATAGGGTCTCAACGACAATAGAGAGAGAACTCAAAAGTTTTACTAAGCTCTTTAGTCCTTATCGTCATGTCGTCCGAATGAATGAAGGAGCTATAGCTTTGAAAGTATTCCATGCAGTACCCGCCTGTGGAAGCAGAGTAAGAGGAAGGCTTTCACTCCGTTGGAAGGATTAGGTGGAGTGCGATCTGGTATTTCCATCTGGTGCCAAAGAAGAAGAAGAGTATTATTAAGCTCAAGCATGCTGAACAGCTTTTGTAGGCCTAATTAAAAGCTTAAGCTATGTACAAAAACAAATACTTATGAGACTGCGTCAGATTGTCCTGTATGGCATAACACTGTGCTCCTCTGTTTGTAAGTGTGTGTGTACGTGTTAATGACGTAAAGCACCGAAAAATACCAAAAAATTCACAGTTAGATCCAATTCCTGAGAGAGCTACTCGAAAACAGTTAAAACGATAAATCCGCAACTTTCTAGGAAGAAGAAGATGATCTACGAGATTTTACAATACTCCTATGTACGTATGTATGTATGTAATTTCAAGACTTTCTTTGGAAATGTGTAACAACGGAAATGTTAAGCTGTTAAATGTGGCTTCGCTGTTTTTCCTTTTATCCCTCATTGCGCCTTAATTACACCTAACAAGCAGAGATTGGCATCGCCGGTGTTCCAGCGTTGCAACATTGGGCACAGTCAATTGGCATTTGTTTGTTTACTGTGGTTTTAGTGGTACTCATTGATAAGCAATAAAGATGTCCTGCCGTGAAGCAAAAAAAAAAAAATAGAGTGAGTGAAAAAAATAGAAAGTACGTATGAATATACATACATATGTATCGATTGAAGTTCAAAGAGTCACATGTACATACATACATACATATGTGTGAGTGTATTTTAAATGATTCTCGCATTATTGAGGTTTGATTTTCCCATGTTTCACACAATGGCCCCTGGCGAGTAAATTAAGTACATAAATACCTAGTGATATCGTTGGCGACCACCAGCGTAACGAGCGATAAGACGGAGGCTATTAAGTCGCAATTGGTCCGCCTGCGTAAACATATGAAAACATGCAGAGTACGAACATTTAAACGTACATACATACGACATGACATACATACGTATATACATATGTTGCATTTAAGTGCAATTATCACCTCTTTGTTATCTATCTCCCACACATCGCTGGTCGCCCGACATTCTCCTCATAATCACTGTCCCTGCAATCCTCCGCTTCCATCATCCGTCGCAGATACAAGGTGTTTATTTGTTCGTCCCTCCGTCCCTCCGTCCCTCTGTCGCATCCCTCAGTTCGAACGCTCCTCTGTACTGTCTGTCAGTCTGTCCGTTAGTGGTGCTTGTGTGTGTGTGTGTGTGTGTAGATTATTTGTTTATTTGTTTATTTACAACACTCGTTGAATTTTGTGGTCGCCAATGTGGTCGCTTGCTCGGTCGGCCGGCCGCCTGTGTTGGCGTTGTTGTACATTCAATATTATTATTGTTGCTCTTATTGCTTGCTGCCGTCTGTAGTCGTTGCTGTTGTCGTTGCCGCTTGGTGTTCATGTTCATGTTAGCTTGTTGATCGTTTGTTGCTA